AATCAGAATAAATTAAACAAGTTATATATAGTGAATCACGGGCCAAGCAACCTTGAGGGAAGGGGCTTTCTTTTATATAAATATATATATAGCTATTTGATTGAGTCAAATTTAGGTATTGTGGGGTTTAATCAGGGATAGTTTTTTCAAATGTATTTTTTGCATTCACATGAAATCGAATTCGAAATCTCATACATGCTTAAGCAAGCAGCCAAAGGAAGGGTCTTTGTATTATTTACAATCTACATGTATGATTATCTGACTGAGTCAAATTCAAATATTGTCTGATCTAATTTAAGGTAATTCATTCAAAGATATTTTTGGGCATTCACGCTTGTTCAAACTTGAGACGTGATGTATATGCTCAAGTGGCCAAAGAGAGCGGGTTTGTATTGTTTCATGTGTGAGAACTTTATTCCAGAATGGTAAGTAAGACCTTCTTGGGGTTAGCAAAAGCCCCATCATCCAAACAACCCCCAAGAGAGACCACAGATTCCTTCCTTTCAACATCGTCCAATCCCCATTTTTCAAAATTCTGTGTGTTTATGTTTCTGTGTGTCCTCTTTCTTTCTTTAGAGCCACATATATATCATGCGGCCATGGAAGTTTCTAATTCTATGATATCTTCCTCAGATTTCTCGAGCCTCCATTTCAGATTTTGTTCCTCCTTCATTCATTTACCTGCTTACCCCTATATATATATATATATCTTGGTACCTTTTAGCTGTATATAATGAAAATGCATTTATAATCCCGCCGGCATCAGTCTAATAACAGACTGTAAAAGTTATGTTTATTATTCGCAAGTTTTAAAAATGAGACGAAGCATGATTGGAACATGTACAAAATTAGCAAAAAGTGAATGAGATGAGGAAAGAAATATGGCAGATTTGAAAATAGCAGAGAAAAGAAAAAGCTAAGAAGAAGGGAAGATCCTTTCATGTTGGACCAACAATGAGCCGTTAAAAGCATAGACACACCCATTCATACGCCACGCTGTATGCTCAAATAAACAAGTAAGTAAATAAATAATTTTACTCTTAATTTTATTTCTCGCGTGTAATTTTACTTCTAATTTTTCTTGTGAGACTATGATTTGCTTTGGAGTCATCTAAAGATTAGAAATAAAATTATACTAAAAAAATTATCAAGATAATATTATTAAAAAATCATGAATAAGATTGCATCACTAACAAAAAAAATTAATTGAGCGTGAAATTATAACCTTTACATTGTATATGAGATATTAGAAGAGGAATGTCGAAAGCTGCGAGTTTCTAAGTGACCCTGCTTCGAAGCGCGTGCACCATTCTTCCAATCGCGTGGACCACGGTCTCTCTTTCTCGCTCTCTCTGGTCTCTGCTCCAACGTACATATACTGACAAAGCATTCCCTTGTCTTCTTTCTTTTGTGGAACCGAAACGCGCTCACGCGCCTAGCTGACTGCGAAATGGTCAGACTCTCCTGCCTTCCATGTCAGCTTCTGTCCCTGATTTTGTGGTATTAACACTGTCACCAACACTCAGATTGCTTCCTAAATTCTATGTTCTTCCTTTGACTCTCTCTCTCTCTCTCTCTCTTCAAGACCTTCTGTTTCCATTTGATTGACTTAATCTTGTAGAAGTACTAGCCCTAACATTTTTCCCACGCATTGTGTAGTATTTCACGAAATAATTTTTTTAGTTGATGTGGTTAAATTACTCCATTAAGTAAAGATACACATAAAAGAGTATATGGTTTTTAACAATGTTAAATGTTTTTCTTTTCTTTTTTTGCCAACAATGTTAAATGTTTTTCTTGAAGATATAGTTAGTTAAAAATAACTTTATAATTTTGAATAGAGAGTACTTCCTCCATTTCTTGCTATAAGACAACTTCTTAAAAAACAAATAAATGGTCCTTATTATAATTGCAACTTCTATCATTTTTTTGGGAATGTAATTCATAATTTCAAATATGAATCAATTTGATTTTTTTAAATTTTTAACCCCTTTTACTTGATTTTGAGCAGCTAATTAGATATGCCTTATAGTATTACCTCTTGTCCTTAATATAAAAATTAAATAACTAATTTTTGGATATTAAAAAAGTAGTTAAATTAGTTATTTTTATTTAATGTGTGTTGGTTTCTCTATTATGCCCTTTCTAATTATGTGCATTGTAACAATTGCTTAATAGGAACTCGTTTACTATATACAACCAATTGGGATAATTAATTTGGAAAAGAAATTATAAATTTTGAAGATAAAGTATATTGAGATCTTATAGTTGAAGTCAAAATGAATCCATCATCTAGCTATTATATTTAGAAGAAGAGGTAGTAATTACACATGAAGGAGTAATCTTTTGTTGCTGGTCTTGGTTAAATGTGAATTTGCTTTCAAATATACTACTTTCAGTTCTTAATATAAGATTTAGTTAGATTAATTTTTTTAATTACTATTATTCTTGGTTGAAGTACAAACTAAATTTTATATTGAGGATAGAAGTTGAGTAATAATACTGATGATGAGAATACAAAAAATGAGCAAAGGCAAAAAACAAAAACAAAAAAGGGGATGATGCAACAGGAAATAGTGTAGAGCATTCTTTATTGGGTTTAGCAGCTGAGTTGAAAACTCCGACACAGCAAAAGAAAGAACGTCCAAGAACATGATGAAAACAATGATGATGCTTATCTCGAAAACTAACAGGTAAAAAAAAAAAACACATATAGGAGCTGGTAGTACTATATTCATATAAACATATAAGGTTTTCTATATGTTGTGCTGATTTTGGGGTGGCCATTTTGTCGTCTTTTTATGTTCTTTCTCTGACTCTGTCATCATTAAAACCACGAAGTTAGGCAATGTTTCCTCTCTCTCTCTCTCTCCAACCTCGACGAACATTCTCATATTATTACAACATGATTCTCTCTCTCTCTCTCTCTCTCTCTCACACTCACATGCCAACACATGAAGCAGTATAATATTTCTTCAATGATTCTAACGGCGATTTCACTTATTCTCCCAATAGTACTTCCAAGTGATCTCTTCACTGATCAAGACGGATATGTTAGTTAAAAGCCGTTTGGACAACCAGATTTATTATTAGATTAATGAATAATTAATTAGGACGCCAACTGAGATTTGCATCTCCCTTGGGAATATATATATATATATATATATATATATATATATATAAGTGAGATTTTTGTTGAAGGACTACATTTGTTGAGTGAAGGAGCTAGGCATCTAGGTTTGGCTGCGCAAGGTGAAACATCACAATCATTTTTTAATATAAAATTAAAACGATCGCCATCATCAATTCGTCATGAGATATTGGGGATGAACTGCTTTTTCCCTCCCAAAAAAATTGACCTCGATGAATCGATTTTACATTCAAAATTCGATCTGTTGGGTTTAACAAGATCATTTTGATGTGATTATAGGTTCTTTTTTGACCAATATATGATTAAGCAGTTAATCAAAGCTTATTATTATTCATTGCTTTTTGAGACAAAAGAACGGATCGGAACCCAAAATATATAATAATTTTATTCACCAATGTACACATAAATATCTATATATAATAGGGAGTAATCAATAAAAAAATTTCGGTTTTATGCTATCTTTTTATTTGTTAAATATTTCTTCAATATCTCTTTGCATATTTCAATAGAGTTTACATGTTAACTTTAAAGTATTATCCCTCTCGCGCATCACATGAGAAAAAGAATTATATATATAAATGTATTTAGTTTCTTTTACGAAAGAAGCCTAAATTATTCAAATATGTGGGTGACCTTTAAACTAAAATTAAAAACAATAATGACAAGAACGAACTTTTGAGGTGGTCGTTAGGGTTTGTCATTAACTAGGAGGGTATCATCTATGTTGTCGCCAATTGCTGAAATAATTGCATGAGATTAATTAGCTTAATTGGCTCTGAAGTAATCATTATGTTAAGCAACACCAACCTAATTGAAACTGCCCTGTTGGTTGTTGAATTATTACTATTAAAGAAGACAAATAGCTAGGAAGCTAGGTTTATATCATTCTATCAAACAGAGCCAACATAGATATATATTTAATCCTTCGTTCTCACTCCATAATTAGTAAAGACCAAAGGCACATTATTATGATTCTTATTAGCTAAATTAGTTAACTTTGTTCAGTTCAAGACAGAATTTTGAATTTGCATTAGTCAATAAAGTGTTACTTAGATTGGTTTGCTTTAGTTAGATAACATAGTTAGCTGCGTGGGATCACATTTTAAAATGACAGCTTAATAATTAACTGATAAAAAAAGTTAATTCATTTTGCATGAGAAAAACGAACATGAATATCCAACACTTTTCAATCAACGTTTTTGTAAGACTGAATTAAAAAATGATAATAACAATGAATATTGTTGTTTGGAAACATGTTCCAAAGATGGGAATTAATAAGGTTTCATAATAATAAGGAAAATTGTGAAGAAATATTTTAGAGGTGGTTATAACCTGTATGCCTGTTTTGATGATGGCATCACGAAGAAAAAGGGTTATGGTGATTAGATTAACTTTCTAAAAGGGAAAAAATAACGGCAAATCTAATTTTCAATGGAAGAAAATCAAAACTTTCTGCTATATAATACACACACACAGATGCACATCTGTATGAAGAATATTCGTAGTTAATCAAAAAGACATACCCTTATTAGTTTATTAATTAATAAGCCTTTCTTTGACTCCCTATGTTAACTTTACTCTCCATTCACACATGAAACAACTGCAGTTATAATTAAACAATACTTAAAGCTTATAAATCTGACAATGTAATTAATCAGAGTCTTCATAAGAACATAAGTCATGAATTGCTCATAATCACCCGCCAAAATCAACTTAAAAACATCAGTTTAATATAATTCAGGTTTGAGGATGATCGTTAGTGCAGCAAATTCTCTTCCAAAGCAATGCCAGAAATCATATTTCACACGGTCACTGAACTATATACTGATAATAAACTTAATCTTCATGATTCTGTTAAACTGATGATAAATTCATTTTAGTAAACATGATCACATGCAAGCAATATCTAAACCTATTATGAAGAAGAAAAGCATTCAAAGATCCAAAGTAAAAGAACTATCACATATCCCTAGGGTTCTCATTTGGGTTTGAAATAAGAAACAAAGCACTCATCATATCCATGATTCCCGCCAGATCATGCCATGGCCATATCAGAAGGATTTTTCAGATGAAACTTTGTTTAGGAAAGTTAATAAGTAAAAGTGGAAGCCACACTAACAAAAACAAGAAGCTTCACAAAGAGAGCTGAGAATTTTCTATAGTGGATTGCTAGTAGTTGAAGATGAGCTAAATCCAGAAAGATCAGTCCAGCCAGAAGTAGAACCACCAGTTCCCCAATAGTGCTGGTCGCTTCCCAGGAATTGGCTTGACAAATTCATCTCCCGATTATTGTCTTCCATTTTCACTGAAGCCAGCTGAGTTATCACCCCAGCAGTTGTCGACGCCAACGCCTTTGGCCGAAGACTCGTGCTGCCATATCCCGGTCCCTCTCCAGCGGAAGCGCCACCGTCAAAGGAGTACAATCCCTGTGAACCTTCCAGTCCAGCCAAGAAAGGAAATTGCTGTGTTTGTGGCACCCGCCATTGCTCCAAACCTCCTGGAGCGAATAACATAGAGCCACTGCTGCTTCCGGCAGCCGTGGTAGTGCCGCCACTTCCTCCTCCTCCTCCGCCTAAAGCATTTCCTAGTTGGAAATTTAAGTCGCCGACTACTCCTCCCATTGGTGCTGAAATTGCGTTGTAATTTACGCCGTAGGTTAAACCCATGTCTCCACCAGCAGCAAAATCAGCAAGTAAGGGAGACATAAATCTCAGTGGTGGCGCATGAGGGGCGAGTCCCATTAAGTCGCCGGCAGAATTACTGTTAGAAGAGACGGAGTTGTTGGAACTAGTGCTCCCACCTTGACGATCTGAACTCGCCGGTGACTTAGAGCTGCTTCCTTTGCTTCTCTTGTTCCTCCGGCATCCCCCTCCGACAGGCACATTCCTCAGCGCTCCGCCACGGGTCCAGTACCTCCGACAAGTCTTGCAGAAGTGGCGAGGCTGAGAGAGGCTGTAGTTGTTGAAGTAACAAAACTTGGTGTTTGTAGATTCACACCTGGGACATTTCAGAGCAGCCTCCGGCATGGGTATGTTCGCCATCCGGGCTCGATCAGCCATGGAACCTGGCCTGATCGAACCCGTCCCTCCGGCTCCATGAGGCTGCGGTGGAGGCAACGAAGGCGGAGGATGCGGCGGAGAAAGAAGCTGCTGCTGTTGCTGCTGCTGAGAACTCACACCGCCGGCGAGAGAGCCAGTATGGTGATTACTTTGCTGCAATAATAGAAAAGAAGAAAAAAACAAAATAAGAGAAAAAGAAGAAGGAATTAAGCAAAGAGATAGATCATCAAATAGCTGGTATATTCAAGACGAAGGTATAAACAAAAGCAACCAGAATATTTATCTTTTGAAAAAATTGTTGCTTTTGGACAAAGAAGAATTGAAAAAAAGAAAGGAACAAAACAACAAGAGATGAAGAAAAACCCTTGTATATACCTGTTGTTGCCAGTTGGATGGATCAAGATAAGGAGGGATGGAGGTAAAAACCATGGCTATGGATGGATGATTCCTCTCGAAGGGCTTTCTCTTTTGTAAAAGGTTTGATAGTGGAGAGAATCACAGATGAGTGGAAGTTGCAGGAGAGATAGATAGATAGATAGAAGAGAAAGAGAGAAAGCAAGAAAGAAACAAGAGGAGGGAGGCTTATAAATAAAGGAGAGGCCTTTCTAAGTATTTATATATATTATTATATACATCATAGTTTTTAGTTTCTTGTCCATTATTACCCTCTCTCTACTTCACTTTCTCTCTCTCTCTTTCTTTTTGTTTTATTACTTTTTAGGGCTTTGAGAACTGAGAAGTCATGTTTCTTAACTAATAAGCTTCTTTTGATGCTCTGTGCAAAGTACTGTGCTTGTGTGAGTAAACGAGATTAGTTCTTCTGACATTTTCAATTGCTTTTGTGAATCATATAGTATTAAACATCATGTTAAGTTGGTGCCTAATACCTCTAATCCCTTGCCATGGCTAGCACAAAGCTTTAATATGAATATCATATGTTTGTTGTGTGTTAATCGGTATTTTCTTAATAATTAAAAAAGTTTCGATGGACTGGGTCCCTGAGACTCACTAACTAAGATTAGAGTATACCTCAAAACTCAAAGAATATTTACAAAGATACTTATACATCACTCGCCAATAAAATGATCACATCTAGCAGTAATATTGATTTTTCTACATATGTGATCAATGTAAGTTAGTTATAAGGATATTAAACTAATCAACAAAAGATGCATTATAGCCAGCCTATTTTAATTTAGAGCCTTTTGAACTTTGGCCCCATCTTCACTTTTTCTCCCTTGCAAATGAGAATATTGTTCATTTATTATTTTTAACGAGGAAGTGATGAAGATAATAATTGACATTATATATATTGTGTAACAATTAGTCACATGAACAAGGAGAATATTAGGTGTGTAATTGATCTTCAAGCGTGCATGCTGGAACAAGTTAATTAGTGTGATTTGCTTTTGAATATAGAGGATAGAATGATAAGCTAATTAATAAAAGTTGAACATTGAACATGAATGTGCGATGCAGATACTAGTGTTTTTTTATTATATAAAGAAAATTATTTATTTTAAGAAATGTGAAGAAAAAGTTAATTAGGGTATATATAATATGTGTGTTTAGGTGGGTTGCTTTAGTGATCTAAGATATGGCTGTAGGGTGTCCCGACCGAATGAACCTTTTATAGGTCCGGTCTGTTCCCTTGCCCACTCTTCTTTGTTTTTTTTTTTTTTTCACCCCTTCCCAATTCCATTACCCTCTTTCCTTATTCTTTCTTCCTGGCCCCACCTCACTGCCCTAGTCAAATGCAATTAGATTCTCCCACATACTTGCACATTAAATTAATACCTTGCTTAACTAAATAATCAAATTAACAGTAAGTTATTACACCATCAATAAGTTATAAACAATATCATTCATTTCCTTAAACATTATACAATAAAATAATTAACTTTGATCTGAACATATGATAAAAGATGACTATTCACCCATGCATGATATTAAGGTTTTAATTTTTTTCCAATTATACTGATGATAAGTGTATGGATTTGGAGAGTGTTATCACAATGTACTTTTCTGGTTCTATTTATATATAGGGAAGAGAGAGAAGATATTTTTTAGTCCTAATTATAGGATACTAAGAGAAAAATTTTGTATAAATATACAATTTTACTCTTCATTTATTATTGTGTTAATTTTGTTTACATAAAGTATAATGTATATTAAATAATGATAAAGTTGAAATTTTGTTGAATTTTAAATGCTAGTTTAATGAAGTTTAAGATTTTCTTTTATCCATGTGAAACATATTGGAAGTGACTTATAAATATGATTAAAGGAGTGGTAGACAATTTTTCATGGTATGCGGAATGCAATGCAAGTTAAAAAAGTTGATTTCTTTTGAATAGTATAATTGGTTGTTACAAATTGTATATTTTACATATATTGATAATGATAATTATAGGTGAGATTAACTTTTTTTTCTTTCATATTCTTACTTTGTTTTGCCGGGGAAGATTTAGATTAGTAGTCAAACTCATGCATTATTTGTACCTTTTGATTGCATTTGGAGAGAAAGAGGGACCCAATGAGTATAATACATCTTTTATTCAAAGGGCCTCTGTTACATAGATTGACATTTAAATCAATGATTGCCTTTTGGATCTTGTTCATCCACTAGCAGATGCAAACAAAGTGAAGAAAATTATATTTACAAAAATAATAATATACAACAAGGTGAAGAAAATAACAAATTTGGGTCCCAATGATTTAATTTGAAAATTTTTCATTCATAATTCCATGACTTTAATTTCCTGTCTGATGAAAATTATTCTGAAAGGGCAAAACTTGTGGTCCTACATCCCTCCCACAGTTGTTGGATGATATTGGAAAAAAACGAACAAGGTGAAATTGAAAACTAGAATATTATGAGAAGACCAAATTAAATTAAGGTATGATAAATTTGTGTGGTATAAGTTTTTAGTCCCTAAACATTCATTTATTATGCGGTTGATTCTGCAGACACGCTTAATTACAAAATCTAGAATATTAGACTTAAATATCCCAATGGCTGATCTGAACTGTTTTTTTCGTGGCCTTGGCTTGTAATTTGGATAAAATTTCGATAAAATTATAAGGAGGTTGTGTAATTTGTTTTGACATAAAATTATAAAGTAATATTGGTGCTTTTTATTTTTTTTAATATTATTTTCCCCCTAATTTCTCAATAGGATACGGTTTTTGTTTGGGCCAGCCCAACAATCAGCATTATGAGGATCCACATTTTGTTTGAACCCAATTTCCCTTGACGCATCGGGGGAAGATGAGCACAGATTAATTAACAAGAAAAGGGTAAAACTACAACATTTACACCAGCCTAATCAACTTAAACACCAGCAGTCTGCTCAGGTTCCAAACTCAACGTTGACAACTAAACACGAGGGTTGTGCTCATTGTGGGATTTAACCCAACACCTTACAGCACGAGCTGATGACAGGCATGCACCACCTGTATCGTGTTCCCGAAGGCACCCCTCTCAGCCTCTCTTGCATGTAGATACTCTTTGAATGATTGAAGTAAGATGTTGAAACTCCACAAAAAAAAAAAAAGTGCGAAAATATCTTTCAGGAACAAAAAAACCATTTCATTTTCTATCTTTTTCCTTTTTCTTAATGTATATGGAAAGCTTTTTATAACAGCTGTTCATCTTGTTAAATTTGAACAGATTCAAAAAACACGCTAAAAGACCACCTGTGATAATCTGCAATGCAAGAAAAAGCAATATCGTGGGCAGAAAAATGAACTAACCTACCAAACTATTTACACTGTCTCGACCTAAAATTTTCAGAATCTAGCAGTTTCATCATCAATTTTTCCAGCCTTTTAGAACTGGAAGTTGGTTTAACTAAATTTGGATTTCCATAAACCGCACAAGGATCTCTGATCAAAAAATGATTTCCCATGCACCAGCCCCTGGAGTGAAGCGGCCACCTGATCTTCTCAGTAGCTCCTTGTCAATCTTATCAAGAACTGGGTCATCTTTCTTAAACTTTCGAGCAAACGGAGCACCACTTTCCACCATATCACCAAAATGCTCCAACTTCAACAACAGAGGATGCTGCTTGGGAGGATTGTCCCACCGTATATAATGCAAATCATGGTTCACTGTTGTGTTCTGGTAGTCCTTGTGGTTGCAGATGACAGTGTGGAAGTAGCCCTCTGGGGATGAAAGAAAATTTGTGTAGTACATCAGCAGAGTCCGAGGAAGATTATCCCAACCCCAAACACAAAACTCCAGAAACTGTTTTGTTAGGGCTACCCATGCAGAACCTGAAGAAAACAGGAACACTTTCAACGAGAACAAGAAGCGTGTGAAGCAACTTTTATCAGGAAACTGGATTTGGGTCATGAAGAGCCGTGATATTTATGCCTTAAGAATAGTACAACTCATTATAATTTTCATATTTTACACTGATTCTGATATTTTTGTACTGTAGTGTTAGTCCCTCACCATGCAACCCCTTGTGTGGCTTGAGGTTTGTCATCGTCTTTGTTTAGCGCCTCAAGGGTTTGTTGAATAAGTCCTTTGAGCCCTTGAGGTTCAACAAACCCTTGAGGTTGGAAGTGTATCCCCATGAGTGTGGGGGTATTACCATCACTGTCTTGTTATCTTGTATTAGAATCTGGTTAATGAAGAATTTCACTTGCGTTTAATTCTTGACGGTGTAATGGCTTTAGATTGGTTTATTGCTTATTGAAGAGGGCCCAAATACGGAATACTTTTTGTCAAGATGTTGTGCGAAGTCTAATTAGACCATCAATCCCACCAACCATATTGTTGAAAAGCTACGGTTAAACAGAGTCACAGTATTAATCTTAGTAGATTATAAAGTGCTATAGATGCCAAGTCGAACAGAGCTGGATCTCCATCAAATAGCAGAAGTAAAAGTACGGGAGAAACTAAAAAGAGAAAATGGGATAAGCTAGGAGAAAGTAGGGGATAATTGAATCCATCGAAAACTTGAATCATCACCTGTGAATAACTTGAAAGAAGCTGGGACAGATCTTTTTTCTTTGGCCCAATAAACACCAGACTTCTTCGAATGATACAAGCCTGGATCTACAATGATAGGCCTAGCTCTTTGATATCTGTAATCAAGGTTACAAATACACATTTTAGTAATCATGTGAAGATTGTACGACATCAAGTTCACTAACAAACCGAGACAAGATTAAAGGATAAGTTGGATTCTCACTCTTTCCAACCCATATTACTCGTGTGCTCTATGAAGTTAAGATCCCTCGGAATGAATGAAAAGATATGCAAGAGATCTGAAGCGAGAAGTTCCACAGGAAAGTTAGCAAATCAAACAAATCACATTTATGATATCGCATATTCAAATTATTTCCAAAAGCCACATAAAAGTAATGGACGGGGAATTAACGGTTCAGATTTTGGTCCACATCCACAGGCAAAGAAAACAAACTTTCACTAAAGGAAGCCAATGAAACATACTGTGTAGTTTGGCTAAACTCAAGATCCAGTCTGCAAATAGACCCAAAATAAACATATCAGAGTATTTTTCTCCCCGGTTTACTGAAA